CCCCCCCCTCCCTGGGGACACCTGGGTCCTGGCCAGCTCTGCGGAGCCGTGGCCACCGTGACTCAGCCCGGGGCTGGCACACGTGGCCGGGGGTGGCACCCGGGGCCCCGCCACGCTGGCACGGGGACCCACTGCCATCCCCGTCCCCCCATGGGGTGGTGGGTGCCAGCAGCTGCCTTCGTCCCCCCCGTCGTCCCCCCCCCAAATTTGTGCTGGCGCGGAAGCCCGTTTCCGCCTCACTTTGCCTTTTTCCGTGGCTTTTTGGTGGTGTTTTTTTTCTGAAAACCCCCAGAAAAGCCCCAAACCGGGGCTGGGCGCATCAAAGGGCTGGCAGGAGCCCAGGGCAGGGGGGGGGAGGGGGGGGGCAAGGAGGGGTGGGGTCCCCACCAGCCTGCAGTGCTCAAAATTGGGGTGTCCTTGGTAACACGTGGCCCCACCACGTGCCCATGTGCTGCCATGTGGCCCCTGGCCGCAATGCCGCTGTGGGGAAACTGAGGCACGAGGCAAGGCTTGGCTGTTCCTGTGTACACGCGTGTTCCTGTGCATGGATGTCCTGGGGGACATACACACACGTGTGGCTGGCCAGGGTGGGCATGCAAGGCCAGGGCACACACGTGTGTGGGGCGAGGCTGGCGTGATCGCTGCTGCCACGTGGGGATGGAAAAGTCCCATCGGGTCCCCGAAAGCGGCTTGGGGCGATCCCCGAGCCTGGGGACATAGGGACACAGGGACAGAGGGGTATGGGGACATGGGGCTATGGGGACACAGGGCCGTGGGGATGTAGGGACATGGGGACGCCAGGATGTGGTATCACGGGGACACAGGGACACGGGACAATGGGGTCCTGGGGACACGGCTACAGGGACGTGGGACCATGGGGCCCTGGGAATGGGGAGAGACAGGAAAAAGGGACACGGGACCATGGAGACCTGAGGTCTTGGGGCTATGGGGACAAAGGGACATGGGGCAACAGGGCCATGGGGAGAGAGGGACGGGGGACCACAGGGGTGTGGGGCTGTGAGGAGCCAGCGGCGTGGGGCTATAAGGGATGGGGGACAAGGGGACGGAGCTGGATTGTCCCCAACCCTGCTCAGTTCCCACCACCCCTAGAGAGGGGGACACACACATGTCCCCTCCGTGCCTCAGTTTCCCTTTGAGCACTGAGGGCTGCAGCAGAGGAGGAGAGTGGGAGGAAGGCAGAGCCCATCCCTGTGATGAAGCTGCCTGGCCTCAGCCCTGCTGGCGCAGGCGGACGGG